TCTGTTATGAGAGCAGTCGCTAATAGAATTGATGCACTTCATGCTTAACTGATTTAGAATTTATAACAAAAGGCGAAACATGGATCCGTACACGGAGAAGAGAATCTAAGCTTTCTAAATTAGACCGATTGGACGGCTTTCAAAAGCTAGAATTATCCCTAACTCCCATTAACCACCGCTTTACCCCTTCTAGAGCATAACCTAAAAATGCTAGACGTAGACAACTACTACCGCATGGAAAGTGAGCTGCCCGACATCCCATACATAACCACTGAACAACCAATCCCCATATTGAGTTCTCTCAGGTGCCAATTCTTTCTCTCTTTTTTTCCATAATAATGTCAAAAGGTTCATGACCATTGATCGGTCGGTAGAATGTGATTAATAACTTGCGAGTTAATCACTTAGTCTTCTCATGACTGAATGAAAACAAGGCTATTTATAGGAAGTTACTGAAACTGAAAATTCTTAGGTAAAGAATCTTTAATCAATTGTAGAAAGCCTGATTTCTATTCGTCTAACCATCGTAAGATCGCAGTTCTGCTCAGTTAATTCAATTCTCCAAGCATTTTGTTTTTAAGACAACTAATTTATTTCACATACATATTATTACATCAAAGAACTAAATCATCAAATATATTCAACTCTACGCACATATTTATACAACATAATTATGGATGAAATGTATGCCCGTAAAAGCTAACCTATGAGGGAAAAGTGAAGCTGAGAGGCCATTCTGTAGGCGGATCTCAGCAGCCTCAGCAGCAGCGACAGAAGGGAGGTTGACATGTGTGGTGAGGAGTAGATTCCGGTGGATCAAAAAACCAGTCCCACCAGAAGCAATTCTGGCCATGGCCGGACCTTTGCCAGAGAAAATGGCGGCCTTAGTTCTCTCCGACTTGCCTCCACCATTACAGAAACACCATGACTCCCCCCAAACCCTCATTTGTCCTCAAATTAATTATATTTCAACTCAAAAAAAAAAACTTAGAAATTATAGATCCAAAAATGTGGAGCTGGAAATGAAAATCCAGTATACGGTTTCTTCCTCTATCTAGCTGGAGAATGTTAACAAGACAATTGTAATAAATGGGTGT